ATCCAGTCGAGTTGATCACAATCAAGAAGACCATCGGTAACCTTGTCTTACCCGCGAACCTGTCTTTGCTTTTCCATTGTGAATCACTTGGCATGTAGCGTCGCTATATAGCTGCTGTTGAACGTGGTTGATAAAGGTTTGTTGCGCTAAAACCCTAGCGTTGATTCACCCGCCAAATTACTTCTCAGTCGACGCTACCGAAGGCTTTTTTGAATTCGATGAAGTTGAGGTAGAAGTACAGTTGATTGCCCTTCTATGCTCTGTTCTATGATGATGCGTAGCGTAGCGTTTCAATTTGATCCTTACATGATTTGTACTTCCTGAAGCCAGCCAGCCTGTTCCGGTCGTAATTTTGAATCCGGAGTATTTTTCAGTCTTTCCAGGATGATGCGGCTTTATATTTCACTTTGGATGGACTGCAGCACGATTCCTTGCCAGTTCATGAAAAGACTTAAGTCACCCTTTTTTGGGAGTTTGACAAGGTGGCCTTTTTTCCAATCGTCAGGTACCTTTCCTTCTCTCCTTCCAAGCATTCTGTATGGTGGTATGGCTGCTGATGTCTGTGTCGGTGTTCAGTGCTCCTAGAGGAATTCCAGAGGAGGAGGAGGAGGGGTTACCCGTTTTTATATTCGGCTGAATTTCCCCGGCTGACGAGTCGCAGTTGGAACAAAACGCACATACTCGATTCCACCTCTAGTTATCAGGCTAACTAGAACTAAACCTAAAATTGATAATCTCCTCCCATGAATAATTCATACGATTGACTATTACCAGTACTAATTGGGAGCACATTAATAGTTACATTAAATCATCGGGATACTAAATGCTTATATATCTTCCGTTTTTCTTTACTGTCGGCTTGTAAAATGGTTTTCGCTTTGAATGGAATCAGATTCTATCGTATATACGCATATTTCTACGTAAATTGGTTTGCTTTAACTCTTTTGATAACATCAGTCATTATCTATATTTTGTGAGGTCATTTTTTCCACTTAATAGAGTGACTTTAAAGGTCACACTAGCAACTGCTGAAATAGCCAATTAACTTTCACTATTTCGGCTGGGAAGGTAGTGATTCTTAAGAAAAAATAAACATAGTTGGTCATCTCAGCAGTTGTTAGGGTGACCTTTAAATTCACTCCCCTAAACTTATCTGAAAGGTGTGGCGCTGTAGGGGCTAGGTATATGAGGATTTCCACCTCTTCGTTTTAACCATTGTTAAAACAACAGCAGAATGAAAAACATGATACTGCTTGAATATATCTATACAAACGGTCAATATACCAAAGGAGCCGGATCAGTTCAGCTCAGTAAACTGCAAAATGGACAATTGGAAAGTTTAAATAAGTTGACTTACTTAGTGTTCAGTTATATATCTAACCGGAACATTAGGCAAGATTGAAGAGTTAGACAGTAAGCAAAGTGGATGGGTATTCAGTTCATCTTGACTCATAAAGTGCAAACTTGAGTGTCATTAACTTTCCACAATGAAATTTAACTCTATTTACTGGGAATTCTAAACTATCTGACGTTTCCTAGGTGAACTGATTAGTATTTGTGTACTAGAGCGATGGTTAAATTGGACAAGAAAAGCTTGAATTGCAGCAAATTTCCATCCAGTCATTCAACTGGGTGATCCAAATGTTGCCTGTTGGCATCTTCTGATGACGTACATGGTTTTTATTACAACTGTCATCCTGTCAATCTCTCTGGTCAATATTTGCTCTCTAATAGTTACGTTTCTGCACTGATATAATTCTAGACGTTGGTGCATAACTATATATTATCAAAACTCGAAGAGCAAGTAATTAAGCTAACTACACTTTACATGAGTCTTCATCTCTCTGCTTATGCCCTTCAAGTTAGAAAAACCTTTCAACTCTAGAAACGTATAATCCGTGTAGTGAACTAATTTTCCTACGGTTGTTTTTCTTTCCTGGCTCATATATGTCTCATCAGTCAAACATCTACCATTCTTCTGGCCTCAGTTTCGTCAATAATGTGTATTTTTTATGGTAATTGGATGTGGTGCATTTCAGTTTACTGTTTAGGGGCTGAAGATACCATATGTTGACAATAATGAGATACATTTTCTTCATCCACACTAACACATACAGGCAGTCTTTGCTACTAATTTAGTCGGAGAAAATAGGTTTATTCACACTTTAACACTTAGGAGCTATCAACCTCACCCTTCATATCATCTGCCCTCGTAAGCATACACTGCCAGTATGCTTACAGCTTGTTACCAACTATATATGTTCTCCAAATGAATGATTTCTGTAGGTGTACGGTGTTTATTACACGTGTTTTCGTAGCATTTCTCGCGTAGGATGGAAACAGTATGTGAACAATAGCAAGATTAGAGGGACAGTACAAGGTAATGAAGGCAAGGTAGTCGATGAGGTTGTGAACCTGTAGTGACCGAGTTGGCTTACATATATAGTGCGCGCGCTTAGCCACTGTCTGCCTAGACATGGGGAATTAGCCGAGGGCATTATAAGACGTGGCACCAGTGGATAAAATGTCTGACAGATCATGAGACCCTTTTGTATAGGGGGGTTAGACTTTCTGGTTGTGGTCCTTTAGGCAATAGCAATAAGTGTTTTGAAAGCCCTAGATGACATGGCTGGAAATCAGTCCCAATGGCACCTGTATATTCCAACATTTGAACACTTTCACTAACCCTCAATTTTCAATTTCTCTTTCCTCCTGTGCGCTTCTGTCTACTTTGATGTCAGTATAAATGACAACCGTAGGTCCACTGCATACTCCTATGCCTTTTAACGCATTCAAAGACCAGTCAAATGCCGTGGTTCTGTTAATATATGGCAGTGTTAATGGCTTGAAATCCTCATGTACACAGAGGTATTCTTACCAATTAAATTCCCCCTAAGGTAGGCACTAGACTATGCAATACATCTGTGTGTTTGATAATGAACTAACCTGTTACCTGGATCTTGATAGTTAGGAGTATCGAAACTATAGCCTGTAAGTAGCTGGTCGAGCATATACGTTGACGACTAGTCACTATGTGTAGCACATTAATACCGTTGTCTGAAAAATAACTCCGTCGACCATGAGGTATTGTGTCAGTGTCTGACTGTGAAGGGAGTACTCGGGAAATATGTAATCCTTGTCAAAGGTCTCTACTCGGACTCACGTAGCCATTTTAAGGACTATGGAGATTTGTCATCAGAACTGACGACAACTACTGGTGTCCGCCAGGGATGTTCACTGTCACTGTTCCTATTTAACTTCGTTATAGACCTACTAATGGACATAACCTTAGGTAGGTCTAACTTTGGAGGGATTCATCTAGTCCCTGAAGGTTACCTGGCTGACTTGAAGCATACAGACGACACCATCCTGCTGGGTGAAGACACTGACAAATTGCAGGGTCTTTTGAACACGCTGATCAGAGTGTGTTTGACTGACATGCGTTTAGCCCCTGCGAAATTTATGATACTCCAGGACTGGTCTGGAAATACTTCCAGGTTAATGATAGGGAGTGAAGTGGTGGAATGTGTCGGTCGCTTCACTCACTTGGTGAGTTGCGTAAGCCTGAAACGGTCTTGTTGCTGACGAAATCTCAGCTCGGATTTGGAAGGCCCGTTCGGGATTTTCCAGCTTGCGTCATTTGAGGCGCTGACTCGTAAGATATTCGACTTCATATCAAAGGACGAGTATACTGCGCTGCAGTCCATTTTCTCCCGTTATATGGCCATGAAACATATATGTTAGAAGTAGAAGACATGAAGCGGTTAAGGGGTTTCGATCGCAGCCGTCTTCTTAGCACTGCTTAAGTTCGATGAAACCACCGTGTTAGTAACGTTGAGGTCAGACGAAAGGTACTACGCAAGACAGGCAAGTCGACTGGTAAGGTTGCAAACCTTGGTCTGCTGAGGTGGATTGGCCATGTACTGTGCATCGCCAGTCCACGCCTTCCTCGATGTATCATGCTAGGGGAAGTTGGATTAGGTTGGAAGCGGGTTCAGGGATGACCAGACCATGATGTAGCACCAGTTGATGAAGCCTCTGACTGTTGGTCTGAGCCGTGTTTGGCGATGAAGACTGCCTGGTTGGAGTCCCCGTGCTGATAACAATCAGTGGTTGAGGACTGTAAGTGATATGGCTGAAAATCTGTTGGAGTGGCGCAGATGTATTCACTCTTTGGCGTCTTCTGAAGCATGAATATTTGCATCAACCGTTATCTTCAAATTGTTTATTCTTTCATACAACTTTATCTTCTTCAATATCACTCCTTTTCTATCTATCTATTCTTTGTGAACTACTTTGAAGTGTGGCGACTTGAACCAATGCGCTAGCTCTCGAAGATCTAATTTGATTATTTGTCTGCCTGCCTGTCTGTCTGCTTATGGAAAACTTGGTGGACACATGTTCAATGCTAACTGGAAGCCACCTGTGAAGCCGAATAATTTTCTCAGGTAAAAATAAGCAATCTCACTGTTGTGTTACGTAATTTGGGTTAGTCTTCACTGAAGAAAGTATTTCCTTAATTGATCAACTAGGTCAGTGGCCTAGGGGGTACCGTTGTGGCGTTTAAAGCGATCAGTCTTGGGTTTGAGTCCTAATAGGAATAACACCACTCACTGGGTGGCAAGTATGTCCAGTTGAAGAGTGCTGAATGGGACGAAAAGCTCCTTCTAGATTTCACTGCTAGCCCCCATCCATCATCATTATTTCTTTAATAGTTTATATTTTATACTAAAATATGTTTTTAAATCGATGGAAATCTTTTAACTAGTTTTTTTCAGAGCATATTTTGACTGTTGTTTTCTCTCATCGTTTAATCTTCTCTGTTTTTCTTTCTTTCTTAGAACTAATTGAAAAACAGAATATTCACGAGAAACGATTTACTCAAACCCACATTGACACTTACACCCAATCAATAATAACAACGATAGTAATTTTTGTTCATTCATTCTATATATACCTACATTTCTGGACCAGTTCTTCTCAAGGTGATTTCATTAGCAATGCTCAATGGTGAGATATTACATATGGAAGATAATGGTAAGTATGTTTCTGTGTGTGTGTGTGTGTGAGCACGTATGTACATGTGTATATTCACTTGCTCCTTGTTTTCTTCGCGTGCTTTATAGTTCGAATTCATGAATAATTTCTTGAAATGTATTATTTTGTTTTTTCCATAGAAAAAGATTGATTTTCTCATGAATTGGGATTTTGCAAAGATCAGCTGGCTAAGCACTTGTAAAGATATGCCATAATTAAGGCGTGAAGTGATTTTGTATTTATGGTCTTTACTCTTGGTTGTGTTATGTTCTCTGAGCTGGAGCTTTTTCATTATTTTTCTTGGCAACATCATCAGCACTAACTAACAGTATGAAGTGAGCTGTCAACATCTCTCTGTGAATGGTTCAGTAGTTTGCTCTGACGAAGTGGTTTGTGATTGGTTGTTCCTTTTGACTGTTATGGTATTGATTGTATAAATATCACTGTTGGCTGTTTTTCTGCCTGATATTTATACTTCATAACATTTCATTGCTCATTTCAATGCACGTAAATAAGTGTGGAGATGAATTCAATTTTGACAATGTAGAAATCTTGGACAGAGGAAAAAAAGGATATCAGAGAATTCCTAGGAGCTTGGCATTCAGGTCAGTCAGTAATCATTACATCTATTGTTAAGACATAAATCCAGTCTATCAGCCAATAGGAAAAACGGCAAACAACAACAAGGTCAGAGGTCAGACAGAGAAACAGTCTATAGCAACATGTATGGAGTCAATGACACAAGAACTAAATGAACAACCCATCACAAACCACTTAGTCAGGACAAGCTACTAAAACACTCACAGAGAGATACTGACAGATCACTTCATATTGAAGCTAGTGCTGGTGATGCTGTCTAGAATGACAACTAAAACTCCACAATTAAATCATCCAGCTCACAAAGCATAACACAACCGGGATCATCCACCACAGTTACTGAATGCAACACTGGGTGACGCGGGTTGGAATCTCAGGTGGGAAATCAGTTCCATCGAGGCTTCAGATATGTTTTTCTGACGAGTGCCAACAAGCACGAAACCAGAGCTCAAGGCTTACTCCTGATTGCCTTCAGCCTACTAAGAGCCACAAACAGTCTCCACCATCCCAAGAATTGTACTGTTGAACACACTATTTGGGAGTTGCGCCGCACCTTCTATACAGTGGATCGCAGCCATGAATATCGGTTTTTGAGGTGAAGATGGGGGCCTAAGGTTTAGGATACTGATAAAATCTTACCACTACCTAAATCTCCATTTTACCCGTCACCTAGTATCATTGATACAGGTCTGCCAAACCACGTAAATCTCACTCAGATGGTCAAATGATGATCAAGACGATCCTTTGAATCTCTAATCCAGTTAGATTTCGATTAGGGTGAGATGTCCTGCCTTTGGGCAGCCAGTGTAAACACGATAACGCGGCAGTAACGCATCAAGAATTCACATGGCAGTTGCACACAATCATTGATGATTGAAGTGAAATTAAAATATGGTCTGCGACTGGGTCTCATAGCTCAGCTTGTAACGTGAAGGTTGTTTGTTCGAATCCTGCAGCCGTCCAGATTTATTTCTGATTTTCCCAACTTCAGGAGAAATGTTTCTACAGGTTGGTTAACAAGTGTAAATAATAAGTAGTGGTTTGATTATACATGGATCTCTCCTATTTTTACTTAAGTACCTACTGCAGTAGTGTTTATCTAACCTTATTAATTGTGTGAAAAGTAATATAACTGACTAAAGCTAACTCGGCGAGATTTTCTTCATAATATGGCAACCAATTTAATGTATCACTGTCTATCCTACTTACTTTAGGTTTCTTCGTCAGTGTCTACACTTGAATTCTTCAGGTAATCCAAGTAAGATTTTGAAAGTCTTGTGACCGATATTACAAGGATTAAACACCCTTCTATCAAAGGCCACTCATCTATTAACGATTAACAACTTACTAGCAGAAGTAGGAAATGTGGATCATTGGATCCCAACCCATTGGCTGGGCTTGATCCCTGTGGAGGTCATGGGTATGCATTGCGGAGGAGTCCCATATTACAACGAAACAGCTGTTCCTCATTTCTAGGTTTTCGATGGTACTCCGTGATGAATATCAACCTGAAGTATACCGCTTGTCAATAAGATTCAATGCATAGAAGAGATTTTGCTATTTTCCAAGGAGGGAACTAAGAGATAGAGACTAATGATATCTAATTTTTGATACAAATGAAAGATAAGTAGACAGTGTCAACAAATAAGCGGTTTCGGATACTTTCGACGAATCAGTGTGTACTAAGCTGGTCCTTTTAATAGCTAGACGTCTTGTGTTAGATCGTAGCAAAAGATTTAATGCAGTGGACTCAAAAAACTGCACCGCTAGTTGGCTACTTTGAATGTATCTAGGAGACATAGAGGGTATCAGATGACTGGGAAACAATAAACGATCGTTGTACTGATTCTTTTCGACCGCCAGCATATTTGTAAGAGCATCCTTTAGGTTAAAAGTTACGAGTGAAGCACGAAGTGTATGTGGTTTATCTTTTATTTGGTTGTGGCTAGTAGCAGAGGAATCCAGGGTGCTCCCTCCCTCCTCTTTGGAACTCGTCAGCTGGGTGCACCTGCACCCAAGCGAATGATGTGCCCACTGAACGTCAAAGCGCTACCCACTAGGCCAGTAAGGCATGGTAGCCACTTCTCGTACAACAAGTATTAGTTATTACTATTTGTTGTTATGCCTTCAGCTAATGAGTGAGACCTAAATAGGACGAAACGCGCACCCTGGATTCCACTGTTCATCACAACCAAGTCAATCATAACAATAGATAATCAGGTAATATCAAGACATCCAAATAGGAATCCATAAGCCAACAGAGGTCGACCGATTCGATCCAGCATTACGACGAAGAATCAGAAGTCTATCAATAAGTGTATGTGCCTTTGTTTCATCTGTGTGTCTGTCAACCCATCGATTTATTACAGATTATTTCTTCATTTGATATATAGTTACAATGCAGTGACACCACTCCATAAAATCTCCAGCTCTTAGTTTAGCCGTGAGGATTGTCTGCCTAGAATCCTTAGGGATATGGGAATCAAAAGGTTGGCAACTCTTGCTGATAGAACTCATAACTGGTCACAGTGGTGCAAGCGTATACACTGTGTGTCATCTTCGAAGATCTTGACATTTTTATTCACTTCCATCTAGTTATGCTCTCTTGTCTCCCCCACTTCGTCAACTTTAGTATGATTCTTTCCCTCTTCCTTCCTTTCGGTGTATGCTGAAATAAAGCGTGGTAACTTGAAGTGATACGTTTTTGTGCCAGGTCCTGAGTTCACCTTTCTGTATGCCTCTGATTGACTATAACTGGGTAAACAGATATTTTTTGAGCCCTCCGAAACAACTTACTTTCTTAGTGTTGTCTTCGCCCACTGAAATATTTTTGTGTGTAGCATAAATGATTTTTGGTGGTGTTTTACTGATTTATGATATACCAGTAGAGGTATAACGCACCAGTCTAGACACTTGACTTTTCGTCAATAATGGGTAACAAGTTCGAACTGCGTTCCACTAACACAGGCTCTACAACCAGGTCGTATCATAAGTCCCTCATACTATTGCCTACTTCATGAATTTGCATGTGGTTGATGAGGTGCGTTTTGACCTCGATAACAATTCCTTGAAATCAGCGAGTCTTATTCAGGTGACATGTACACAGCTCTCTGAGGTGAATGGATCATGTAGATAAGCTCAACGACTAATTCATGAAATCGCCTCAATTTATAGTATTGATGGATAGCGGATAGCAGGGGAATCCTGTACTCACCTTTCATCCCGCTTAAGAGTCATCAGCTTGATGTTCCTGCATACCAGTGGGTGATGTCGTTCACAGTATGACTCCAACCCATGATCAGTCGCTTCAATTACCAGTGTTATTCACTAGGCTACTGAGTCATGATAACACTTCTTTTATTGATGAACACAGTATGGTTTTAACGTTATTTCGAAGCCACTGTACTTCGTTATTACTAGGTAACAGAATATACCTAACTGCCCGTATTGCAGTATGTGTGTGTATGTGCATTTATTCTATACTTCAGTCTGTTCATGCGCCTAATGTAGTTGGTTCTTAAGGATATGACAACGGCTGAGTCTACCCTACTTCCTAACCACAAGTGAAATAACCAATTGGAATTCTTTATTTTATGAGAATCTACCTTTCGCGTTGAAAGAAAGGAACCTAACTGTTGATTTTAATCGTTGCTAATGCAGTCTTTAGAGTTATTCTGTGATGAAAATCACATTAACAGTATACTTTTTCGACAAACTGATGAAATATAACATCATGAAAGAAGCCTAGTTTTTTATATCTTTATTTCATTTGCCTAAGGATTATCAAATTTGCACATAAACGCATCTCATGGTGGTACTCACTACGAACTGACATCAGTTGGAGAACCACTGAAAACCTGGGAGTACTGGACTGCTGTTTCGTCCTAGTATGGGATTCCTCTGCAGTGCGCACTCACGACGTCAACTTGCCGGCGATCGAACTCAGTACCTCTAGGTTTGATGGTGAATGCACTGGCCGTCCACCAACTGGGTTGGAGTCCGACGGTCCACAGTTTCTTACACTTGTCATTTTTCATTATATCATGACTATCCACCAAGGTCTTCAGTTGGCATCTGCTTCACTTCCGACTGGTTGCCGCCATAGATCATGGATTCTCATTAGAACTTCAGCAAGTCCGTCTAGAAGATCCTGAGTTCGGTCCCTGACCGGCTGGTAGGTGTTTACTACTTAAGAGTCTCGTGCTAGGACGAAAAAGCTGTCCGGTGCTCCCAGGTTTTCAAATGTCAACCCGTGATGAATATCAATCTGAAATTTCATTGACTCACCAAGTTTCGAATGTGGTCTAGTTTGACTTGGAAATGGTTTTTGTCATAGACTGATATTACTTAAAGAAAAGGTGACGGCCTGAGAATATTATACAACCGTTCCATCCAAGTATAGG